AGCGTAGGGACTTTGGGGGGAGGCCGGGAGAGGAGGGACGGGGGAGGCTGGGGGTGGATTTGGGAAGGGCTGGGTGATAATTTAGGGTGGTGGGGAGACAACACTTCTCCCTATAACCCTCCTCATCCTCTGCCCCACTGTTGGGGGGGGGCAGAAGGGGGGCGACACAGCTTGGGGGTATGGGAGGGGACCCATCGGTAAAATCACCCAGGGAACGCCCTTCCACAGGGAGCTTTTGGGGGGAAAACGGCTCGGAAAAGAGCCATGGGGACCTGCATCAGTCGCCAGCTCTGCTGCTTCCTTGCTGGGACCCCCCAAATGCTGCTTGGGTTGCGCCGAGGGCGGTTTGGGATGCGCCGAGCCGGGAATTTGGCAAGGGTGGAGAGGCCGGGTTTCCTCGGCTCGGGTTAGCAGGTAATAAAGTAGAAGGTAGTTCAGCAAAAATAAAAACCCCTCTGCCTGTCTCGGCGTGTTTTTGTCTTTGGAGAGGCAGAAGATGCTCACAGTGTTTCCTACCTGGAGCAGGGAAAAGCGACGGAGCCTGGGGTTGGTGCACAAGGAGAGCCAGACACAGGCGGCTTGCGGGGCGCGGGGCTCCCTTTTTATTCCTCGCCCCATGCCGGCACCTCCCACCGCCGAGCCCACTGCGCCCTCGGCGTCTCACCCTCTCCATCGGTGCAATGCGGCGTCCCCTCCTCCAGCCTGCCGACAGCAAGGAGCAGGCACAAATGACACTGGATTTTGGCACGAGAACCAGCCCCGGGTTACCCCCGTCCTTTCCCGGTGGAGAAGAGCACCGTTCCCCTCGGGAAGAGGCTCCCTCTCCCCCGAGACGTCCCTTTCCGGGGTCCCCTTCGCGGCAGGGTGCAGGCACCGTTCACCCATCGCTGCTGGGAGACATCCCACCCCGATGCCTCGCTGGAGCAGCCCCGTCACCCACCCCGGTGCCACCCTCCGCCCCTTAAATGTCACTTGGTGCCCTTCGATTTGTCCCCAAGCCGAGTTTTGCCTTGGGCACGGTCCTCCCTCCCCATCCAGCGCACCCATGGGGGGGGGGTGTCTCGGTCCTTCAGGGCTCCTCGCCGCTGCAGGCTCCGGGTGGCTTCACCAGCCCCGCGGTGCTGTGGGGCTTCTTCCCCACCATCCGGGTCCTGGAGGGGGGCAGCGGTTGGGAGGCGAGGGGGAAAGCGGCCTTGGGGAGGTGGCTGCGGCGGTGTTTGGTGAGGTGGGAGCTCTGGCTGAAGGCTTCGCCGCACTCGGGGCACTCGTAGGGCTTCTCGCCGGTGTGGACGCGGCGGTGCCGCTCGAGGTGGGACGCCCAAGCGAAGCCCTTGCCGCACTCGCCGCAGGTGTAGCTTTTCTGGGCGGCGTGACCCCGCTGATGGGCGAGGAAGGGGGGAGCTTCGCCGAAACGTTTGCCGCAGTCGCCGCATTTGTAAGGCCGGTCGGGGGAGTGGGTTTTGCGGTGCTGGAGGAGGTGGGCTTTTTG